TTCAGGGCTTCAGTGCTGTACCTGAGTTCTTTTGGCTCAAGGCTCTAACACTGGAGCCACAGCTCCAGTTCCAGCTTTTGGTGATTCACTAGAGGTAAGAGTCTCACAGGCATTCCTGCTTGAGCTGGATTTGAACCATGATTTTCAGATCTCAACCCCACCAATTATCTAGTTTGACAGATGTGAGGCACCAGTAGAGAAATGTCTCATCATCCTTTTATGCAATTTGTTTACTTACTGAGTTTTTCAGCTTCCATATATTCTAGATATGCACCAATCATCCTATGTATACTACTCTGGTATATTGCTTATTCTGTTGTATGGAAGCCTTTTATTACTCAAAATAATCACCTATCTCTACTTGTGCCTTCTTTCTGTACATTTTTTGGCCAATAAAATCATATCTCAAATGAATATCATGTTTTCTCCTGTTTCTTTCTCTCTCTCTCTCTCTCTCTCTCTCTCTGTGTGTGTGTGTGTGTGTGTGTGTGTCCTGAGCTTCTTTTGTTTCAAGGTAGTGCTCTACTACTTGAGCCACAGCTCCGCTTCTGGCTTTTTTTTGGTAATTTATTGAAGATAACAGTTTCACAGATGTTCCTTTCCTAGTTGGCTTCGAACTGTGATCCTCAAATCTCAGCTTCCTGAGTAGTCAGGATTACAGCCATGAGCCATGTGCCTGGCTTCCTTCTACTATTTTACAAGGTCAGAACTTACATTTAAGTTTTTAAAGGTCAACTTTGAGCTGATGTATATGTATGGTGTGAAATAAAGATCTAGTTCCATTCTTCAGATGTAGACAAGTATTTTTACAGTGCTATTTTCTGAAACAGTTGCATCTTAATTGTGCTATTTTTTTGGCATCTTTATCAAAACTCAATTGGACAAAAAAAACACTGCAAAATGAAGAGCCATGAAACTAGAAGAAGGAAATCTAGAGGGGGCACTAATCCCTAGAGGAAAGAGAACAAGGAGAGTGATAGAGGGGTGAAATTGATGGGAATATAGTGAAAACATGAAATCAAGTGTTGCTAAATCTTCTGGGATTGAAACTTGGGAATCAAAATTCCAGTTAATTGATTCCACAGGCAAAATAATTTTGTCCACTGAACTCTGCTGGCCATCACAGCATTCTGGAGCCATCACCTTCTCTGTTCACTGCTGACATGATCATCCTCACTCTTAGCTTTTCCCTCACATCAACTTCAAGCCCAACTCTCTATGATCTTTCATGTCTAGGGCCTGTCATCTGTGGATGTACCTGACTCCGTATCTCAGGAATCCCGTTCAAAATTCTCAGAACAGAGAACCTCATTGGCCCTAATGGGTCTTTGGTATTTGATCAGTAGATTGGCTGATGGGTATTAAAACTGCTGGTGTCCAAGCACCAGTAGCTCATGCCTGTAATTCTATCTACTCAGAGGTTGAGATAGGAAGACTGTAAACCTGGGTAGAAAAGTCTGTGAGATTCTTATGTCCAATGAACCAACAAAAAAGCCAAAAGTGGAGCTGTAGCCTAAGTGGTAGAAACACCAGCCATGAGCAAATTGAAGCTCTGGGACAGCACCCAGGCCCTGAGTTCCATTCTTCTCCTCCCCCCAAAAATGCAAGCATATACCGCTTGATAAAATGTAAAATAACTATTGAAGGAATCTCAGAAAATGTCCAAAAAAAATTGGAGAGAAGGCCAGGCATAGAGACTTATGCTTGCACTATCTATATCTCTTGTTAATTAATGATACCTCTGGAGAGCATTTTTAGTTCATTAGATTCATTCCCATATATTTCATTAAAAATGACCTACCTCATAACCCTGTACTTCCTTCCTGATAAATCCCAGTTTTAAAAGAGTTGAGCTAAACTTGATATTTTTTGTTCATACAAGGAATTTCTACTTTTACTGCAATATTCCCCCTTCAAACTGCAAAGAGTTTATTCATACCCAAACTTAGTATAGAATCCTGTATTTTTAAAGCACTTAATTGTTCTATAACTAAACCAATGGGCATATCACGCTTTTTTTCCCCCTTTATGTTGTTTGTGGAGCTTGAACTCTGCACCTGGGTGTTCTCCCTGAGCTCTTCAGCTCAAGGCAAGGGAGTGCCCTACCAGTTGAGCCACAGCACCACTTCCGGTTTTTTCTGGTGGATAATTGGAGAGAAGAGTCTCATGGACTTTTTTTTCTTAATATATATATATTTTATTGTAAAGATACTGTACAGAGGGCTTACAGTTATATGAGCAAGGTAATGAATCCATTTCCTATCGAGCATTGTACACCCTCCTTTATTTTTCCCATACCATCCCTTTCCTCCCCACCTCCCCAACTCCTCCCTCCCCTCTCCTACCCCCAACCCCACCCCATCCTCATCCCTGCAAAGTTGTAAAGTTTGTTTTCAACATACTCATGGACTTTCCTGTTGGGGCTGGCTTTAAACTGTGATCTTCAGATCTCAGCCTCCTGAGTACCTAGGATTATAGGCATGAGCCACGGGTACTGGGCTGACATCATGCTTTTCAATACCTTCAATTTTGGATATGATTAAATGATATGACTTCCAGAACTAAGGCGGTTGGAGAATTTGGTAGCAGAAAATCACCCCCAGGGACAAATTTCTATCTTTAAAAATAAATATATATACTCACACATATGTATAAATGTGTATATATCTATAAATATTCTCTCCATATTTAGAGACAATATATAGAAATGGTAATAACTCTGTACAACACCTTAATAATAACAATAATATATCTAGGTAGAATATAGATATATACATAAGAAAAGAACAAATTATATTGTAAAATTATATATAAAGGTAAATAACAATCACAATAATATATAGTTTAATATAGACTATATAAATATGTTTATGTATTTATTTATATATTATATAAACATATATAGCATAAATAAACATATATTTATGTTATACATATAATATGTTTCTATAAACATAATATATATAAGTATTTATATATACTTATATTTATATATATGCTTTCTATATTAGAGAACTTATATATATATATATATAAATGGTAACCCCTCTGTACAAAACCTTAATAATAAAAATAAAATTCTATTCTATATATAGTATATATTGTATATATTATATAATATATATGATAAATATAATAAATTAAAAAATATATAAAATAAAAATATAAAATAAATAAATATACAAATACAATAATAATATATATTCTCTATATAACAGAAAATATATATTCTCTATATAGCATAGAGAATATAGAGAGAATAAAATTGCAAGGTCTATATAGTATATAAAGAATATAGAGACTATATAATTTTATATGTATTGCTATTATTGTTATTGTTTTCTCTATATTTTATTATATGTTATTGTTTTATCATTGATATAATTCCATATATATTCTACACATATTCTTCATATAGATGTATAGAATAAATATAATTTTGTTATTATTATTAAGGTGTTGTACAGAGGGGTTACCATTTTGTAAGTCAGATGAGTACATTTCTTTTATTTTCTTTTTTATGTTTAAAATTTATTGTAACAATGATGTACAGAGGAGTTATAGTTATGTAAGTTAGGTAATGAGTACATTTCTTTTGTAACAATAACACTCCCTCTCTCTTCTTCTGGGCAATGTCACCTCTTCCCTTGCTTTCTCCAAGTTTCTACCTCTTGTCTGTGCCCACAAGTTGCGTAGTTTATAGTCTAGTGAATACCATGCCTGCATTTGTTCACCCTTCCTACCTCCATTTCTGTGCTTTCCTTTTTCCTCTCTCAAGAGAGCAAAATCAACAAATAAAAAACCAAAAAGCAAAATAACACCACCGACAACAACAATAAAAAAAAAAAGTCATGTTTCCATTTCCTGGAATTTGTAGCTTAAGTGGTACAGTGCTTGCCCAGACCCAGACTTCAAGCTCCTGGACCAAAAAAAAAGTATTTTAAAAGTTCAGAGGGATTATGCCTTTGGAGTTCTCCCCTAAGAATATTCTCCTTAACAAATTTCTGTGTTTTAAGTTTAACCATCATTAATGGAAAGCCAACAAGCACAGGCCACTGTAAGGAGTCCTGTGAGACTAATTTAAAAAGAAATAATGAACAATTTTGAATCTCCAGGCAAATGATCTTGTTAAAAATTGCTTTTTTATCAATGTTATCTTCCCAGAGGCAAAAGTAATTTTTTAATTTGTATTTTTTACCTTAAGGGAGTATTACTGATTAGAGATCAGAATGATGATAGAACAATTTATTGAATAATGCAATTCTTTCCCACTTTTCTGGAAGACTTAAAGAAACTTCCAGTATCCTCAAGACAAAATGTTTTATAACCCCCCACAGATTTAAGTTAGGACTTCCCTAACTAGAATATTTCCTTGTGCTTTCTGGAGGAAAAAAAATGTAGGAGAAACAACAGAAGTAGGGTCTCATTTTTTTCTTTTAATTTTTTAAAATTTTATTTTATGAGGGAGTTCCATCTTGAAGTAGGGGTTTCCACAAATGGAAGAATTTGGGCAGGGTAGAGAAAAAGCAACTAATGAAGGGGGAACTTCTATCAGACTCAAAGAAGTGTCCTTCTCAAATGTTATCTCAGATCTGCAGGATCACATCCTTTCTCAAAGTTCATTACACATGCAAATTCCAGGCCTGGGTTTCACAATGGTTAAATTAGAATTGTGAGGGGTCTGGATTCAAAGTTGTCATTTAATTAACAATGCATTCTAATGATTCTTCCTTCTACGTGGTTAAAATTTCATTAGCAATTGTTTGTGAAAATGGATGATGAAGCTGATCTAGGTGGCTGGCTCCTATAATCCCAGCTACCCTCTGGATGGAGAGGCAAGAGGTTCATTAGTTCAAAGCCCTATTTTAAAACAAAAATATCAAGAAAGGATTAGGCAGGAAAGTATAGTATACGCTGTAAACTGCCTGACCAGCAAGTACAAAGACCTGGGTTCAGTTCCAGTATGGTTTTGAAGTGAGGAGGCTGAGTCTAGTAACCTCTCACAGCCATCCCGGTGCCTTGCTGGGTGGAGGGTACTTTCTACCCAGCTCTGAAAAGCCTAGAGATAAGAGAGGCCATTCATTGAATTTCAGATGTCATGCTGAAGCTGGATAAACCAGGGAAAAAATGAGGTATGGTCAGCTAACAGCAAATACAGGAGATATTCCTTCATATATTTAGGAAACAAAGTCATTTTAGGGAAAACAAAGCAAGATAACATAAGGAAACTGAGGCCTGGTGAAGGCAAATTAGTAATATAGTATTTAGAAACTTAGAAATGCTATCTTTGCTTCAAAGAGAGACAACAGGATGCACTCCTTCCTGAGGGATGCATTTCTCACCCAGGGATTAACAACTGTCTGACATGATGCCCTAAAATACAGATTGCAGGGCATCTCCTTGTCTCAAGGATAAAAATCTTTTTTTATGGCAAGATACATTCTGACCTGGAAACTCAGAAATAGCATCAGGTGGAGCTGGGAAGGTGGCTCAGTGGTAGAGTGCTTGTCTTGCATGCATGAGGCCCTGGGTTCGATTCCTCAGCACCACATAAGAAAAAAGCCGGAAGTGGCGCTATGGCCCAAGTGGTAGAGTGCTAGCCTTGAGCTGAAGAGCTGAGGGACAGCGCCAAGGCCCAGAATTCAGGCCCATGACTGGACAAAAAAAAAAAAGAAATAGCACCAAGTATGGTTAGAGCAAAGACAAAGCACCTAGCTTTGTATAACTTGAAGCTATACCCTGACAGCCCAAGGAGCTGTGTGCCTCTCTCTGGGTCTTTCCATGTGTGTGTGTGTGTCTGTGTGTGTGTGTGTGTCTGTGTGTGTGTGTGTGTGTGTGTGTGTCTGTGTCTGTATCTGTGTCTGTGTGTATCTGTGTCTGTGTCTGTGTCAGTGTGTATGTATCTACATGTTTGTGTCTCTGTGTCTCTTAACTCCCTATGAGGGCACCTGCACTCTCCTACAGTGTGTTCCTTCCTACCTTTCTGTTTGTCTGCTTTTTTGTTGTCTGCTTGCCTGCTTGTTTACTTATTCAATAAAGCTCTGCCAAATTTTCTTACCATTGTGACTTGTCCAGAAATTCTTATTCTGCGATCAAGGTCAAGGACCCTAGGTGAAAAGTTCCTCTTTTTAAAGGGAAGCTTCACTAAGCCTCACTTCTGTCCAGAGACAATGCTATTTAGCTCTAGGAAAGCTCGGCATAGAGAATGCTCTGATTCTGCCTTGATTACCTGCCTACATGGTTTGATTTGCTTGCCTCTGAGGATACCTCTATATGGAAAGGTCAAGGCATATCCATCCTAGATGGGAAGTTGAAGCTGACCCCTGAGTTATTTCCCAAAATGGAAAAGATCTGCTGGTACCTGAGCTACTTTCCAAGATGGTCTTCTTTAGTTGGGCTTGGGGGCTCCACCCAAATATGTGGTTGTTGCCTTTAAAATCTTTGTGATAACTTTGTTCTAGGCTGCAAGTCTTTGAAACAAGAGTCCACCTGCAACAACAGCTTTTCTATAAAAACTCCCAATTCGACCTTTCAACATGTGCCTTCTCTGTTTCTCACTGAGTGAGTTACAAAAGTTTAACAATAAAAATTAAAAGGATTATCATCATATGCAGGTGAATATTAATGAATTTCCCTCTAAAACTAGAGACTCTTTACTTAAGGTCCTTGACTTTTCTGCCCTGGCCATTTATGGCTTTTTGGATGAGGTTAAGTAGAGTCTCCTGGATTTTCCTGCTTGGGCTGCCTTTGAAGCACTATCCTCAGATCTCAGGCTCATGAGTGGCTAGGATTACAAGCTTGAGGCACCAGCACCTGGATCACTAATAATTTATAAATATTTACATAAACACATATGCATTTTGGTCAACTGTAGAAAATGACATGTAACAGGAAAAATTCTTGGTTCTGATCTCTCAGATTTTTCTAGGAATCCCAAATAGTCTAATTAAGCTAGAAAACTTCTACAATAGAATTAATCATTCACTCAAATAAACAGAAGTAGCAACTTCCAGCACTCACAAAATATACAACTGTCACTCAAGAATATCAAGATTCTGCTTATATTAATTTTATAATTGGTATATATTTAGTGTCTTAGCCCAAAAGTTAGATCCTCCATATATGTATATATAAATATATATATATATATATGCACATATAAGTGTGTGTTTACCTAAAATTTTTAGAAACAATAAATGAGATGAAATAAAAAGGGATGATTATCTTCCAATGCTTGAAAGTAAGAAGAACCTGAATAGCAAAAAGACATAAAATAAAATACATACCAAAATTTGAATATAGTATCGTAAGTTGTAAGCACATATATGCACACAAATCATTCTCTAATCAATGAGAGCCATGGCAAGAGAAAAAAATGGATAAACACAAAGCAGAAAGTCATTTGGCTATACAGATATACACTGTGTCATGAGAGAGAATTTCTCATTAGTATTATTATTACTTTAATTATTATTATTAAGTAGTTGTAAAAAGAGGTTACAATGCCATAAGTCAGGTTATGAGTACAATGTTTCTTGGTCTCCTCCTTGTTCTCCATTTTCCCCCTCCATCCCTTTATTCAAGTTACATAAACAGAATTTCTTTGGCCCATTTTTAATGTTTTTTATTGTAAAATTAGTGTACAGAGGGGTTACAATTACATGAGTAAGGTAATGAGTACATTTCCTCTAGAGCATTGTTATCTCCTCCTTTGTTTATCTCCTACCATCCCTTCCCTCCTCATCTCCACAACTTCTCCCACTCCCCACCCCTCAAGTTGTAAAGTTCATTTCCAACATAGTGTTTTATATATCTCATTATTACAATGGGTCAACCTGTATCCTTATTTCAGCATTTTGTTATTTCCCTTCCCCTCCCCAAATTGGGAAAATGTATATACAAGATGCAGGGCACCAACATCAAATACAGTGAAAACAGGGGTTATACCATGGGGGAAGCACATACAATAGAAGCAATAAAAAAAATCACATAGTCTTTTGTGCATTTTTTATTTTGCTTAGAGGTAGAGAGACTACACCATTCTCAAGAATCCTCAAGAGGGCGTTCTTGATGTCCCTGTTCCTCAGACTATAGATGAAGGGGTTCAGCATGGAGGTATCCAGGGTGTACATCACTGCTACCACAACCACCATTCTGGGGGAGTGTGAGATGGCTGAACTGAGGTAGACACCAGTGGCAGTGCCATAAAACAAACCAAACACTGACAGGTGAGATCCATAGGTAGAGAAAGCTTTGTACTTCCCTGCTCTTGAGGGGATTTTCATAATGGAGGAAATGATTTGTGTGTATGAATAAAAGATCCCTGACACTGGGATGCCACCCAAAACAGCACCTGTCATGTAGATCAATATGGAGTCCATGGAGATGTCAGAACAGGCAAGCGTGAAAAGTTGAAAAGCCTCACAAAAGAAATGAGGGATCTCCACCTCCTTGCAGAAGGTCAGATGGGACACCATCAAACAGTGCACCTGGGCATCCAGGAGGCTGAAGAACAATGTCACCACAACTAACATGCCACAGAGATGAGGGTTCATGATGATTTGGTACTGTAGGGGGTGACAGATGGCCACCAGGTGGTCAAAGGCCATCACACCAAGAAGCAGACATTGCAAACAGCCAAAAAGGTAAGCAAAGAACAGCTGTGTTAGGCAGCCAGTGTAGCTGATGGATTTGCTGTGTGTCTGGAGGTCCAGCATTTTGGGAACTATACTCTTGCTAAATCCAATGTCAGCCAAGGAGCGATTGGAGAGGAAGAAGTACATGGGGGTGTGGAGGTGAGGGTCAGAGCTGACAGCCAGTATGATGAGCAGGTTGCTCAGCATGGTGACCAGGTTAAATGTCAAGAATAGCCCAATAATAAGGATTGTAGTTCAGGATCCTGTGAGAGTCCAAGGAGGAGAAATTCCCCCACACAGGTGAGGTTGTCTGTCTCCCCATAGATGGGACACCTGGTGAAGAGAATGTTGGTGTAAAAACACCAAGCCCAGAGCAATGAATGTTTAGACTTTGGAATCACACACACATACACACACACACACACACACACACACACACACACACACACACACACACACACACACACGTGTCCTCATGGATTGCACATTCAAATGTCTTCAGGAATATTCCTCACTGCTGCGCTCTTTAACTGAACTCCTTGGAGTTGTGACGGTCCCTTGTTCTGTACTCATCCAATATGGGGTCTGTGGGCCAATTAACCTTAAAGATTCAAGGTCATTTTTTAATTCACAAATCCTGAGCCAGGTACCTATCAGTTCATTCTATTTGAATGGATAAAATAAATAAGACAAGCAATTAGCCTTCCCTCCCTTAGGGGAAAATAACTAAAAAAAAAGACACCATGAATCAGTCAAATATATTTTCTTCATGTTCAACATTCATGCTTGTATTAAGAATATAAATCCTTCTAAGTATTGGTGTCTAATTCCTATAAGCTGAAGATATAAAGATCTGAGATCTAAGGATCACGGTTCAAATCCAGCCTGGGCAGGAAAGTCCATGAGACTCTTATCTCCAACTAAGCATTAAAAAGGTGTAAGAGGAGCTGTGGCTCAAGTGGAAAAGTGCTAGCCTTGAGCAAAAAAGCTCAGGGACAGCGCCCAGGCTCTGAGTTTAAGCTATAGGACAGGCACCAAAATATTTTTTTTTAAAGAATATGAATCCTCTTTCTATGGATCAGAACATGTTAGGGCAAAAGATCCATTGTCTGGATGTACAATCACATTGAAATACTTGGAATTCAGCAGCACATTTTGTGCTTGGTGGCTGGTGTACTTTATGTAGTCTTTAGATGGTCTCTTTTAGGGAGATAAAGGAGGTAAAGGATTCAACTGTTGGGTGTTTCATGTCAAACATTATTTTTCCTTTTGATTTGTTTTAATGTGACTCAAAATATAACTGTTTAGGCACTAGACTTCTTATTTGGATAATGAGTTTTTTGGGGTTTCTTTTTTTGGTCTGGTCATGGGGCCTGAACTCTGGGCGCTTTCCCTCAGCTCTTCAGCTCAAGGCTAGCTCTCTACCACTTGAGCCACAGTACCAATTCTGGCTTTTTTCTTTTTGCTTATGTGGTGCTGAGGAATCAAACCCAGGGCCTCATGCATGCAAGGCAAGCATTCTACCACTGAGCCACCTTCCCAGCTCTGGATAATGAGTTTTAAAAGTTACAAGACCGATCCTGAAGATGATAGATGATAGTGAAGTACCATGTTGACACATTTTAATGTTCTGTGCTTATTTTCAATGAGCAGAATTTGTGTGTGCTTGTTACGTGTGTGTGTGTGCGCGCGCATGTGTATGTGCTTGCTCCAGAGCTTGAATTAGGATCTGGACCAAGGCCGGTGCTCTACCACTTGGGCCACAGCTCTACTTTCAGCTTTTCATGGTTAATTGGAAATTAGAGTCTCACAGACTTGCCTGCTGGGTTTGACTTCAAACCACTACCCTCAAATCTCAACCTCCTGAGTAGCAAGGAATACAGGTGTGAGCCAGGGACACACAACAAGAAAAGAGTTATTTCATCATGGCTCCACATTCTCAAAGAAATGCCTCAAGTTCTGCTTACTAAATAGATATTTACTATCATCTATCTGGTGGAATTCTCCTCATCAACTACAACCCTCCATTGCGGGTACTGGAAACCAATGTCAGAACCACAATCAAGTGAGAAACTATAACTCTGCCAACTTATGTGAAATCAAAATCTTTTAACTACACACTTTCTCATAAAAAAAGATAGAAGAATATCACCTTAATTCAGGCTCCTTATGAAAACTCAGGCTTTTGTTTTTCCTAACAATAAAACTATAATTAAGGGAACCAATTTTAAGAATGTTGAGTAATATTTAAAAAACTCAGCAGTTGATTGTCAATAAAACAGATGTAATATTACCATAGATGTGACTATTTTGAAAATTTTAAATATACAAAGTGTTCAATTGCAGGGGAAACAAAGGAGGAGGCTACAATGCTTGATAAGAAATGTACTCATTATCTTGCCCATGTAATTGTAACCCCTCTGTACAGTATTTTCACAATAAAAAAGTGTTCAATTGCTCCTTTTATTGTTTTAATTTTTAATTTTAAGTTTGCAAAGTCCTGGGGCTTGAATTCAGGGCCTGGGCATTTTCTTTGAGCTATTTTTCACTCAGTGCTAATGTCTCTACCATTTGAGCCACAGCTCCCTGTCTAGCTTTTGGCTACTTGACTAGACCTAAGAGTCTCACATACTTCCCTGCAAGCCTCAGATCTCAGCTCTTGAGTAGCTAGAATTACAGGTGTGAGCCGCCTACACGCAATCATTCTTAGAACTTTATTTAGTAGGAGCCATTTTCTCCACCAATGCGGAAGATTTTAATGAGCTAGAACTTGCATAGAAAGAAATCAAAACCACCTATGAGAGGAATTCCATCCTCACAATAAAAGACCTTAAACTGTCTAGACCTCTGAGCTCAACTTTGCCTCCTGGAACGTTCGCATCTGGCTCACCTCCCTGCCATGTGTGAACAGATGAGGAAATAGGTCGAAGTTCCCCTCTCCCCCATCCCTGAAACCTTAAAACTCACTGAGATGCCCTGAGCCTCTGCTGGAGCATGAAGGGTGTGTCTCCATCCTCTCCCTTTCCCATTCACTAAATTAGTCCTGGTTATTTCCAATCTCTAGAGACTTGATAATTGGATAAGGGACATTCTTACAAGGATCTGGGGCTGGCAATCTTCTTCTCACGAAAAAGTCACCATGTACTCTAAATCCATGGATCTCAAGTTCAAGGATGTCATCCCACGGTGTGACTTGAAAAAATGTATGACTCAGCTGGTAGCCAGTGGCTCAGGCCTGAGATCTGAGGATGGTAGTTCAAAGCCTGTTCAGGGAAGCAAAGTCCCTGAGACTCATCTCCAATTAACCACCAAAAAAAGTCAGAAATGGAATTGTGGCTCAAGTGTTAGAGCACCAACCCTTGGCAGAAAAGTTAAATGAGAGCCCGAGTCACTAAGTTCAAGCCCAGCATATTTCTAGTGAGGTGTACACACACACACACACACACACACACACACACACACACACACACACACACACTCACTACAGGAAAAATGGTAGGTCAATAGGAATTCACTTTGATTTCTGCATTTCTTTGGATAATTGTTATTTCTTTCAGATCAGGTAGACAGTAGAAGATGGTGTCATACCAGACATTCAACAAATGGCACCAGAAGATTATGATTATGGTTTCTACTTTTCCAGAAATAGCCCAGATTACTTTAGGAAATAATTGGTTCTATTTTTTCTCGTGTGTGTGTGTGTGTGTGTGTGTGTGTGTGTGTGTGTGTGTGTGTGTGTGTGTGTGTGTGTATCTGTGCTAGTCCCGGAGCTTGAAACTCAGGGCCTGGGCACTATCCCTGAGCATTTCAAGGCTAGTACTCTACCACTTGAGCCTCAGTCCCACTTCTAGCTTTTATGGTGGTTAATTAGAGATAAGAGCTCTTTCCTTCCCAGGCTGGCTTTGAACCACAATCTCATGATTACAGGTACAAGCCACCAGCATCTGGTAAAATATTTTTTTCTTTAGATCACATTGTATTAACTGTTCATAGAAGTATGAATAATAAAGTATTTGGCGACCTTTTGTAATTTTCAAAATAAGACAATATAATTGTGATTGCTGCTGACAGTAACAGCAGGCTGTTTCTGTCTATCCTTTTCTGACCTATCCTGTGGCACCCCAGCCAGGATGACCTCATAAAGAATTAAAAATAAATGTTAAAGTTATGTCACAGAACCTAAGCTGTCTTTGAAACATGATCTTCAGAACTCAGCCTCTTGAATAGCTGGGATTACAAGCATCACCTGTGTCCACCTCAATGAGAGGACCTCATCATTATGAAGATAGGTGGTTGTGAAAATAAATAGAAAAACACTAACAATACACTGAAATTGGAGGATACTCTCCAAGGTGTCCCAGCCAGCCTCAAAAATATATCTAAACCCACCCACCCCATTTCTGTTCTTTTTTTATTGTGAAAATACTGTACAGAGTGGTTACAATTACATGAGCAAGATAATGAGTACATTTCTTATCAAGCATTGTAGCCTCCTCCTTAGCCCATTTCTGTTCTGATACCCATGGAAACCTTTCTTATGGTATTGGAGTATTAAATGATGCTGATGAAGCTCAGTGGAATTACAAAGTTCTGATATTCATCAACTAGCACATAAGTGCTGTTTTACAGGGTCTCTAGGTTTGTGATCTAATCCTGAAGAGGATGAAAGCCATAACAATGATGGCCAAGTCTTGTGAAGTAAGGATGGATGTGGTCCATGTTTAACAATTTCACAATTTGAACTCTTGATTCAACACTTTAGCTCACTGGCTGATGTCCTACCACCTGGACCATGCCTCAAATCCCCAGGTTTTTATTTTTAGTGTTCCCCTATAATTTGAATGATGGTTAGGATCTGAAGACTTAGATGTGCAAGAGAATAATTGAATTGTCTCCGAAGATGCACATACTATTATTTTAAAAACATAAAAATAAATGTGTTTCCATGGTGTAATTCCTTTAAATAAATTACCTCAAATAATAAATTTTAGGGAGTTCAAATATGTTTTGTCTGATAATAAGAAGAACTTAAGGGGACTGGAGGTAGACAAATGGAGAGAGGAAGGGTGGGCAATATTGATCATAATACTCAATGTACGTATGTGAAAATGGAACTGGGTAACTTGAGGATGTAGATGGGATTGGAAGAGATGCAGGACAGGTTGTGTGTGGAAAGAATGACAGAAGAGGGATGATATCTTGAAGTTAATAAATATCCACCATTGTGGGGGATTCTTATATATGGAAGCTACATTCAGCTTACAAACTCCTCAGTAAATGTGCAGTTATATAAATTATAAATTATAAATGTGCAAGTATATACAAATGTATTCAATGAAATATGGTAGATTCAAGGGAGATCTCTGGTAGTATAATTCCTTAGAAAGGCAAAATCAAAGTTCAGCAAAATAAAACACCAGGAAATAGATACTAGAAAGGGGTGGTGTGGGGTCAAAGAGAGGGATAAATGAATGAAGAGGAGAAAGGTGAGAATGCAGACAATAATCTAATGTATATCTTATATAAAACTAAGGTGAGTGAGCGAAGGGATGAGTAGGGGAGGGATAGGCGAGAATATTGAAAGGGATGACATTGATCAAGACCTAATACATTCACAAGCTGCTTTGTTAATGGTATTTCTTCTCTACAACTACATAGAGATTATAATAATAATTTTAAACAAATACATTTATCTAGAAGCATTGTACTCATAAACTGACATGTTGGACTGAAATTCTTTTGCATAAATATATACATAAATTTGACTTAAAACTCAAATCGAAGTTGGGTACTGGTGGCTCACACCTGTAATCCTAGCTACTCAGGTGGCTGCAATCTGAGGATCATTGTTCAAGGACAACCCAGGCAGAAAAGTCCCAGTGAGAATCTTATCTCCAATTAACCACTTAGAACCTGGAAGTGGTGCTGTGGCTCACAGTAGTTGAGTGCTAGCCTTGAGAATAAAAAGGCTCAGGGACAGCACTCAGGCCCGGAATTCAAGCTCTAAAACCAATTTTAAAAAATTCAATGGGACCAGGTGCCAGTGCCTCACACCTGTAATCCTAGCTACTCAGGAGGCTGAGATCTGAAGATTGTAGTTCCAAGCCAGCCTGGGTGGAAAAGTCTGTAAGAATCTTATCTCCAATAAACCACTAGAAAACCAGAAGTGGTGCTGTGGCTCAAGCAATAGAGTGTTCTCCTTAAACTGAAGAGCTGAGGGACAGCACCTAGGCCAAGAGATCAAGCCCCACGACTGACAAAAAAAGAAAAAAATCAAATGGGATTGGAGTAAGAATAACCCCAAATTTCTGTAGTATTTGAAAATAAAAATTGAAATGGCCAATTTCTAAAACATGAAAATTGCAATTTCAGATCCTGGACTCATTTAATTGAATTGTAAGATGTTTATCTTTATCATAGCATCATACAGAAAATAATAATAACAACATATAACATATTTTTTCACTTTTTAAAATATGTATTCATCACTTAAGGATATAACAAGAGGATCTTCGAATCTCTTCACTATTTCCTCGATCTAGTTCTAGCAACTATTAAGTCTTCTCAGATTATAATAATGACTCCCAGATAGCTTTCAAACAAATTCTTCCCTGTGCTACAGAAATAATAAGATAAAGTAAAATAATAAGATAAAATAACAAAACAAAATAGAATAATAGAACTTATCCAAAAACCCAGGCTCTGATGGCCTACACCTATAATCCTAGCTACTCAGGAGGCTGAGATCTGAGGATCATGGTTCAAAGCCATCCTGGGCAGGGAAGTCCATGAGACTTTTACTTCCAATTAATCATCAAATAGCCAGAAATAGAGCTGTGGCTCAAGTGGTAGAGTGCTGGCCTTGAACACAAAAGCTCAAAGATAATTCCCAGGTCCTGGGTTCAAGATCAGAAAAAAAAATCCCAGGTTAAATCAGCCTTTTTTAGGTCAAATGTATTTTCTCACTGTTTCACATACTTCACAAAGTTTTAAGGAGAGGTCCAAAGTTCTAAATCAGGGATTATCTTTTCTTGAACAACAGCAAACTCTTCCCAGTTTCCTGAATTGTAGTTAAATCAAATCCTTTATTGAACTCCAATTTTGAGATAAAGATGCTTAATAAGATTGAAGGAAGTTGTGGTTACTGCCAGGATGCCATTGAGCTGAGAAAGAAGATCACAAAAGTTTTTTGAGTTCTCCCTCTTCTAAGTGGAAGCTCAGCTATAACTTACTTTGTAATTACATATATATATATATATATATATATATATATATATATATATATAGTAAAAGTACTGTACAGAGGGGTTGCATTTACATGAGTAAGGTAATGAGTACATTTCCTATCGAGCATTGTTACCTCCTTTGTTTCTTTTGTATGTTCTTCTCCCATGGTATAACCTCTGTTTTCACTGTATTTGATTCCAGTGCCCTTCATCTTGTATATACATTTTTCTAATTTGGGGAGGGGAAGAGAAATAACAAAATGCTGAAATAAGGATTCAGGTCAACTCATTGTAACAATGAGATATACAAGACGGTATGTTGAAAATGAACTTTACAACATGTGGGGGGGGAGGGAGGAGTTGCAGAGGTAGGGAGGGAAGGGATAGTAGGAGAAAAACAAAGGAAGAGGTAAATACCTTTCTTTTTAAAAAAAATTACAATAGTTTCTGCACTTTAAGAATTTGTATATTTTTCTATATGCATGCATATGGCCAGTACTAGGACTTGAACTCAAGGCCTCATGTTCTTGCTTGTTTTTATTCTCAAGGCCTGACACTCTATCACTTGAACCACAGCTCCACTTCTGGCTTTTTGCTGGTTAATTGGAAAGAAGAGACTTATAGATTTTTCTGCCTGGGTTGGTTTTGACCTATGATCCTCATATCTCAGACTCCTGAGTAGCTAAAATTATAGGTTTAAGCCACTAACACCCAGCTGAAAATTGTATTTCTTAAGATTTTCTTCATAATGGTGAGATATTCCCAGAAAA